GTGTAGGACTCCACCCAGCAGCTTTCCACTTCCAGCGGTTCCCTACAAGACGACAGGAGCCATTGATGAAAAGAGCAAATTGTTTCTCAGTCTCTGGTAGATGATCATATGGTAGAGCTTCTTGAGCCTGTCTCACCACTTCTTGTGCTGGCATTCCAAAGTGTGTGCCTTCTGGCCAGTCTGTAATTGCTTCTACAATGCCTGGATTATTAGGGCTTCCTATGCGAGCTCACTGGGTAACTAAAGCAGTCCATTTACCCCATGTCGCATCGGTAGCATGATGGATAGGAGAAACATTAGTCTTGAACATCCAGCCCAGTTCTGGCAATCGGGGCAGCAGGAGGAGCTGCACTTCTGTGCTGATCACTTCTGAAGCAGCTCTAACTCCTTCATATACTGCAAGTATCTCCTTTTCAGTTAACGTACATTTGGCCTTGGAACCTCTGTAGCTCCAGCTCCAGAATCCCAGCAGTCGACCTGGAGTTTCCCCTGCTGCTATCTGCCAGAGGCTCCAGGTAGGACTGTTGTAGCCAGCTGTGGTGTAGAGCACATTTTTGATGTCTGGCCCTGTTTGAACTGGTCCAAGGGACTCCCCTCCATGTGAAAGGCAATTGTGGCCTGCACTCTGGTGCTAGAGGAATAGAGAAAAAGGCATGAGCAATGTCAGTATTGGCATATCACCTGACTGCTTTCGACTCCAGCTTGTACCAAAGTTCTAGCATGTCCAGCGTAGCAGCACTGAGCAGTGGTGTAACCTCATTCAGGCCACTTATGGATGGGAATCACAGAGTCTCTGTTGGTGCGATATTGTCGTCTGTGCACTGTTGAAGTGGCAATTGGCACCTGTTGGTCTTACTACAGAAGGGTCATCTGAAAGGCCAGACAAAGTACGCAGCTGTTCAGTGTCCTCAGTCTCTACAGCTGCTATACCAAAGGCCCACCGGTACCCTTTCGGGTCACGGAAATATCCTTTCTTGAGATAGTGTATGCCAAGGATGCAGGATGCATCTGGGCCAGTCACTACAGGGTGCATTTGCCACTCCTTACCAGTGAGGCTCACAATGGCCTCCACAAGAGTCACTTGTTCAGAACCTCCCGTCACTCCCAAAACAGTGACAGATTCTGTCCCTTTATGGTTCAATGGCATTAGGGTGCACTGTACACCAGTGTCCACCATGGATTTATACTTTTTTGGTTCTAATGTGCCAGGCCACTCTGTTGCAAGCCGATGCTGTCACAGAGGCTACCGGCAGTCAAGATGCTTCCGCGACTCCCCCCCAATTTGGATGGGTTTTTAAATCAAACCGAGGGCACACACGTGATGCTTGCCACTCGGAGGAACGGCCACTGTGGGACCATATTTTAGAGCAGAGATCAGAATACCACCCTCACCACGCCCACAAAAGGTTACTGAGACCAGTGTTTAGTTTACAAATTAACCGGTTTATTAAGGGTTAATACAAACTGAGGGATGAGGTTTAGGAGAAATGTAAAAATGGCAAATGGCTACCAGGGATATATACAAAAGTACTGTGCCCTTCAGGGAAGTAATGCAAAAAGTACTGTGCCCTTAAGATGTTCTCTTCGAGAGAGGGTTGTGGATCAAAGAAGGGGGAGGAGGGCAAGCCCGACAACAGTCCTCCTTAAAGTCGTCGTCGCCCTGTGTGTGTAAGTATGGGGAGAGGAGTAAAAAGAATGTTCGTATGTTCCTCATCTTGATCCTTAGCAGCTTCATGAGTACTTTGAGGTAGGTCTCTAAGATGCATGGAGACTTGTTACTGAGGCAGTTTTTCACTGTCAGTAGGTGCCCCTAAGAAACTGTGCTAGAGGTGTTCTTTTGTCTAGCAACAGTTTGAAGTTCACAGGCATGAAGTGTTACTGGCAGAAACAGCAGCAGGAGGCCCTGGGCAGTGGCGGCAGCAAAATGGGGGGGCTCCGGCCCCGAGGGCTGTGGGGAAGGACTGG